CAATAGTAATGGCAGACAGCAGGCTATATTTAGCAGAGAAAGCAAGGATCCCTACAGATAACTGGAAACGAGTATCCACCGCAAGTGTGTAAACTCATAATTGGAACATTTAACAAGCAAAAGTAGCTCCGATCGTTTTTACTAAGGGTATGGTGTTGGAACTAAGCTATGAATAATATGTCAATAATTTAGACAAAGGAATGGAAATGTGTGTTTTCTATCTGTTCCGTCATCATCATTATACACGTTAGCTAGAGGTGGGAAACACCTCAGCTACTGTGCCGCAATATATAAAAGAAAAACGGGAAAGTGCAACAGGAGCAAGCTATCTGAGCTACCAGTAACGAATGGGCATCGTTCCGGTAACCTACCTGCCAGCTACTATGTAGAAAAGTAAATTACTACGCAAACTTATATAAGGTTAAATGGTGAGATCGTAGTTGGTGGGGGAAGGCTAAGAGGGGTGGGTGGGACAAAGTAACTCACAGCACGAACGCCACTGAGGTCGGCTCCTCGCCATATCAACAAGTGTATCCAGCCAAACGTGTTCATCGTCTTTCGGACCCCAACCAGGGAGCCGAGACGCTCCAACCTAGGTCAACTTCGAAGTGAGGGCCATCATTGCTATCGACCAATTCATCGCTTGGCCACCCCTCCTCTTCTTCCATCCACACCCCCGGCGCGCAAACAACATACGTCGCGGGAGTCGGCGGGCTCACATGCGTAATACTTGGCCGAGCCATCGGAGCCTGGTGCTTGAAATGACGGTGCTGAGCTGTTCATTTCCTTTTCCTGTGCCATATACAAGGCGTCGAACACGCTCGTTGCTTACTGGATGTTCCCACCAGATGTGTGCTAAATTGCGAAGGCACCGGTGGTCGAACGTAACTAGCCGCTTTATGTCCGTTGATCTAAGGAGCCAGGTTTCAAAACGGTACAGTAGGGTCGAACATATCGCTGCATTGTACACTCTAACCTTTAGGGCGAGAATGATGTCGCGCCGGCGCCATAAGTGACGATGGTTAGCAAAAGCGCCTCGAGCTTTTGTTTTACGGTTCGTGATCTTATCTTCAATCCCACAGGCGCTGATACAACTTCCCAGGTAGTTGAGTTTTCGAACGACTTCTAGCTGATCCCCACCAAAGTTCAACATAGGAAGCGGTCCAGACCAATCTTGGAGGAACCCTTTGCACTTCGAGGGAGCGAAGCAATGCCCGAACTGACGGACAGCCAGTGCTACTCTGTCCAGTGCCGCTTGGCACATTTGTGGGCTGTCACAGATTAGAGCAATGTCATCAAAATACTCAACCTCAAGAAGTCGTTCACCTGGGAGCAGATCCACACCCTCCAAGCCGTGTCCTGTGAACGCGATTTCTATGACTTCACCAATAGCGAATTTGAAGAGGAAAGGTGACAGCGGGTATCCTTGTCTCACACCGCTGGAGATATTAAAGGGCGACGATAGCTTGCCGTAAGCCCTCACTCTTCCCGAGCTACGCGCGTATAATGCTGGGATAATATTTACATATTCCTCAGGTACACCTTTCCTGACCAGACAGTCTTAAAGTGCACGTCTGTCCACCGAATAGAATGCACCTTTGATATCGAGGAACACGACAACTGTGGGCTGCCCATATATGTGTCGGTGCTCCAACAACTGATGCAAAGTGAAGGTGTGGTCAAGGCAGCCACGACCCCGACGAAACCCGACTTGCTCTTCACGAATATGGCTTTCAAGATTGCCAGTCAGTCTGTTCCGTTATACTGAGATGAAATCTCAAGTGTGGTTTCTGACATTTGCCCACTAAAACAAATGCAGTCTAAGGTATGAACTTTCAAATAAGTATGAAGGAATAGATATCACATCCATTCGGTTTAATTTATAATTGTTCAAAAATATTTGTGTGCACTGCGATGAAATACTTCATCGTACCGATCTATGTGTGCACACATCGTCTTGAACACAAAATAGTGCGTTACAATTGAGGAAGCACAAGAATGCACAATTTAGGTGTTCTATCCTCCGCAATACACGTGCGATGTTTTTGGGTAGATCTCGGTTACTGTGTAAAGGTACAGAATTTACAAGATGCCGGATTACCGTTCGACGTGTCAAGACTTCTGTTCAATCGTTCAGCACTAGAGACCAAACAGACTGGAATACACACTCGAGTTGACATGATCCTTTTAATAAATGCGTACAGAATACTCTGAGCTAAATCTGTTTGGTAGCAGGTTCAAGTTCTTGTAATCAAATGTTCCGCAGCATATTAGCGTTTAATTTTGATAAAATGTTGGGTTTGTAGGTGGTTTTGTATGTTCGACCGAGTTCACTGGGTGCATTGCAATAAGGTTTCTTTTATGTTTGTTTGCTTCAAATACAAGTGGACGAATGAATGGTTCGTCATGGCTAATTGCAGTCTAGTATCAAGTTTGGAATCCCTCGGACCAATTGTTGTGGCGATCCGCAAAATGGACTTTTGATGCTGGTTTGGGCGACGTTTAATCTCAATGAATGACGGGCAATATTTGTCTTCAGCTAAGCAAATATTTCCATTTCATTAATATGAATTAGTATCAACAATCAGTTCAGGGTGAAGAATTATTTTCGGTAAAATTTTATCGGACCAAAACGTTTACTTAACACTGATTTTGGAGAACTTGTCAACTCGGGCTGGGATTGACTTCTGGACTGTTTGAATGATCAAAATCGATAACTTAAGACAGCCATATAGATGGTATGCCAGGTGAACTAACTAAACATACATACAATACTCAGTAGTTCGAAGTAATTAGGTAGGTAAAGTAACAACCACATAACTAAGTAACAGTGTTGGTATGCCAAGGTAGTAGTATTGGCTGTATGAATCTTTGTTGTGAAGATAATTCCGACTTAAGATGGTGAATGTAGATAGCCTCGGCGATGGATAAGAGCTACTTGCGGAATCCTTTGGATTCTGCAAATTAGGTTGAGTGCGAAAAACCGATTATTTGGTTTGATATTTTCTTGGGATTAAAGGGTGGCTTGTTGAAGCCCATATGTTTATTTGTGCTCTAACTGCTCCTGGCACATTAATTACAATCGGTAATGGGCCTAAATTACTTAATTCATCTCAAGCACCGTATATGAGAGGGAGATAGACATTAAAACTAATTCCGATCCAAGAAATTGTTTTGTATATATATTATACGTCTCTTAATTGCGCCTGCATGCTGCGATTTAACTTCGCTTTGATCATTCAAACCGAAAGATGAAATTTCCTTAGTCCTGCAAAGTAACCACAGACGAAATCGGTTAGCCTAGTGCTACAGGCTTAATACCTTTATCGGGACAATCTGAGTTTGGATCCTGATGTGAATTTCTCCAGCTACAGCGACCATGCTGTAGCGAAGCCGTTTTAATCTTAACATATGAGGTGTCTAAAGCATTAGCTCAAGTTACTACAACTCAAGTCGCTCCTTCTGTGCTTTAGACAAAAGTCTTTTAATAAGGATTGCATAGATGCATTTCATACAAATTTTGCGCATCATTCACGAGACTAAGATGTATGCCGAGGCATTCATCGTATAATTTTGCTAGGAAATCTGTCACCATAAAATCGGAGGGCACAATTTGTCACTTTCTGCCGATCTGGAGCACTCTTTTGGATACTCTTTGAAACCAACACTGTATTTCCGGTGCATTCTCATCCTACATTTCGACACGGACTCTCGGCAACTCGAGTGTTACCATGATATGTTGATTCGTTTAACGATCCGTGCGTTTTCTACCGAGGTTTGAGCGCTGGCCAACGTAGTAGACTTGGCGCATAACAGAGGACAGTCTAATAGCAACATTCCAGCTCGGGTTAGTCCGGATTTGCGTGCGAACGACTTTATTTAACTATTTTTATTCTTGCATGCTTCCCGAGGTGTTCGTTACTAGCGAACTAACTCAACCGTATGGAGAAACGATTTTGAAGCCCTCACTCAATGACATGATAACGACGAATGATCTCATTTTGAGTGTCAACTCACTGTGAATTGAACCCCATCCAGTTCGATCATCACTGCAGCGGAATCTGAAGCGGATGAATACATCATCCTTGGTTCGCTTCAGTGTGAACCGAGTTCTTGCTAGACATGGTCTGGTACAATACATGTAAACGTGTACTTCCAAATGGCCCCTCCAGTGAGTTCTTGGTCACAGTGACCGGTGTTGCCAGGCGCGGTGGCTGAGAAATAGAGGCTACAGAGACGTGGCAAACCTTCAGGGTTTGGGTGACATTCCTTCTTTATCCACCTGATGCGCGCAAAGGTGGACGAAATTGGTCGCGGAGGGCATTGTGACAAGCAGGTGACACTTAACATTCATTTAATTCAAGTTCTTTTATCCAGTTCGATTGGCTAAATGTGATGTAAATGATTGTCTTCCAGACATAGATAACTTAAAGAAAGTGGTCAGAGTGTTTCACAGGTGATACCACTATCGCTGTGGATAATTTGCCATCTAGGATAATGCGAATTGCTGGGTCTTTAGATCAGCCATTACCCTTTCGATGAACATCAATTTTATGCTATTTAATTTGTACATATCAGTTTTGAAAGAATCTTCCGTCAAGTTCCTTGGGTATATCATTTCCAAGGTAACTGAGAATATCTCACCCCATCCAAAATGTGAGCGCAGAAACCACGACATTGCGCACAGTTTACAATTTGTTGTTTTGCCATTTGGAGCCAAGTATGAACAAGTGCTCTAGGAAGGCTGCCTTTCCCACGGGATCCAAATGCCGAACCTTCCGTCCATTCTTTTACAACTGTGAATGCAAATTGAGGCACCACAAAAATGGGGTTCTGTTGACTTGAGTGACAACAGTGTACTCCTTTCTCTTTTGTTTATCCATTCATAGAATTTTGTATTTTGGATGGTGTCCTTTTAGTCTATTAGCAGTTGATTATATGAAATGTTGAAAATGCATCCACCCTCGTACATAAAGCATATATTCCCATTTTACCTACAGGCTACGCGAGGGTAATTTATGCACAAAACAGTGAGTTTCACAATACAGCCTATTCCTTTATGCTACCTAAAACTGCCCCATTTGTTCCAAACACAAAGTACTCATTTGTATCTTTATAACTGTTATATATGTCAAGCTACCACTGACTTTCCCAGAGAGGAAAACACATTGGTCAAATCGATGGAAAATAGCCCATGGCAATTTTCTCACGACGCACGCGTAAACAACCCTACTCCAGATGCTTGCGTCAGGTGATATTTGATTGGTTGAGCTGGTTTAGCGGTACTCCTGCTGGCTAGAAGTATTCATTTCCCGGATTCTCAGTTAACACGCCCATGTTCACATGGACAACATAGCTGGCCTACATCGCAACGTATCTGCTACCCACAAGCACAAATATCTTTATTGTTTTTTGAGCTAGCAGTCAGTGAGGAAATGGAAAGGAGACATGAGACAAATACATACATGAAGACGATATTACAAATGCAATGTGTTCTGCATAGCTCTAATCAGGGATCCAGTAATCCCCGTGAATTTGGGTGAAGGGTGCGAATTGGAGCCATGATTTAACAAGAGACAGTCAGATGTATTTCAACACAAACGGCAATCGTTTATATCTGACTCAACCCAGCCAACTAGACGTACATGGGGATATAGACGGACCAGGATCCGCTGTGGGATCCTTGCACCGACACAGTACTGTTGGACACGTCCCGTACAGCGGCGGTTAATAGGCACACGGACGCGTAGGCACTTTCCCCAATGTTGCATCATGTGTGTCGGAACCTAGCATGTGAAGTGCGTATGCATATCATGCATGCTGCAACCTGCCACGTTAGCCGCAGTATAGGAAAAGTTGGTAGTTGATGCCGGAATCGATGTCACTTGTTTTCACTTAAGTTCACTCAACCCCTTTGCCTGTCATCTGTGGACATGGCCACCTTGACGACTTTTCTAGTCTGATCGGAGGAGGGGGCACTGGGCTGCACGAGCTAATGACACGAGGCGGTTGTCATAACATGCACCCGATTTTCTGTTCACTAGCCGCTTCTGGCGCACTCGTAGCACAACCTACGTACTGTGGTTAAGCCATTTCCAATGATCCACTGCTATTTCATTTTGATAATTGAAGTAAGTAACCGTCCGGGAAAACTCTTCTTACCCTTATTCGGACAGCGTAACATCTGATTGCATATAATCTCACCTTCTGCACTCAGTCTGTCACACAGAAGGCTTTTCGCCTTTTGCACATATCATTCCATTTACTGGGACAGATCACGAGATATCTGCCGGTGCACATTTCTAAACTTGTCCATATTCTTTACACTGGCCGGCATCTTCCCATGTACTAAAATCCTGCATGCTTTCCCGACCAAAGCGCATCCTTGTCGATCCCAGCGGTCCGTCTTTACGCTTGTTCATCTTCTCAGAAGCAATCGTCACCTACTGCTTAACGGAACGCCACATACCATACACTGTACGGCTGTTTACTCTTTTCGGCATTTGTTAGCAGAAGGCATTCCATCTTGTAGGGCTCGGACCCACAACTCTACTTTTGCCAGTCTGTGATAGAAACCATCGAGCCGCGAAGAACGGTCACATTCGGTAAGACTAAGTTACTAGAGGTGATATAGTGCTGCACCCTATCCACAGGCTTGCACGTTACTGTCATTTAAATAACAGAGTAGCCAACTCACCGTCGCTTAGCGGTCTTGACTACAAACTGGTAGACGTCGGGTTGCCAGTTTGAGCCTCACAAGAGTCATCTAGAATGCACGCGGCTGAAGAGTGCAACGACCTGGCATGTGAGGTATTTCCGGTTGAGTTCACTTGTAAGGAATATCTATTTATACCGTCCAAATAACCCGGCTACTGCCTAGCATGACATAAAGTCCTTACTGCTACGGCTGCAGTGGCTATCGTACTTGACATCTCGTCGATATCCCACCTTTGCCCTTGCTTGCCGTCGTAACCGTTATGCAGCGCCCTCCGAAAATCATAAACGTAGACTGAGCAGCCATCAGACTCTATGTGGACCAGAATGTAAAGTATTATTTATAAGGTAACCTTCGTTCCGTTAAGCAATTCCGGTTTGTTCTTCTTTGATTGGCTGTCTCTGGCGGGAACTTGGCATCGATCGAGCCAGTTGGTTTTACGGGCTTACAAAACGATTCTCGCTCACACGCGTAGGCGTTACTGCTCGGCTGGCGGCGGAAATCGCCTGGGCAACCATTGTGTGTGCGTTCGGAAGGCGTAGGCGCATACTAACAACTGCCATTACCATGCTCATACCACACCCCTGCATTTTGCGGCTTAGGCTCGTTCAGTGTTGCAATTCCACTCGCTCTTCCTCTGAG